GAAAATCCCATTGGGGAAAATCCCATAACAGAAATCCCATTGGGAAAAATCCCATTGGGGAAAATCCCATTGGGGAAAACCCCGCAATGAAAATTCCATTGGGGAAAATCCCATTGGGGAACATCCCGTAATGAAAATCCTGTAATGAAAATCCCATTGGGAAAAATCCCATTGGGGAAAATCCCATTGGGGAAAATCCCGTAATGAAAATCCCATTGGGGAAAATCCCGTAATGAAAATTCCATTGGGAAAAATCCCATAACAGAAATCCCATTGGGAAAAATTCCATAACAGAAATCCCATTGGGAAAATCCCATAATGAAAATCCCATTGGGAAAAATCCCATAATGAAAATCCCGTAATGAAAATCCCATTGGGGAAAATCCCATAACAGAAATCCCATTGGGAAAATCCTATAACGGAAATGCCACTGGGAAAATCCCATAACGAAAATCCCACTGGGAAATTCCCACTGGGGAAATTCCCGCAGGGGAACCCTTGGGGAAATCCTGTATTGAAAATTCCCATAAGAGAAATCCCACTGGGAAAAATCCCACTGGGGAAATTCCCGTGTGAGAACCCCTGGGGAAATCCGGTATTGAAAATTCCCGTAAGAGAAATCCCACTGGGGAAAATCCCATAACGAAAATCCCACTGGGGAAATTCCCACAGGGAAAATTCCATTGGGGAAATTCTCATAATGAAAATCCCATCATGAAAATCCCACTGGGGAAATTCCCACTGGGAGAATCCCTGGGGAAATCCCGTAATGAAAATCCCGTAACAAAAATGCCACTGGGAAAATCCCACTGGGGAAATTCCCACTGGGAATTTTTTTGGGGTTCGGGGGGATTTAAATCCCGGGATATTTTGGGGTTCCAGGGGATTTAAATCCCAGGATATTTTGGGGTTCCAGGGGATTAAAATCCCAGGATATTTTGGGGTTCCAGGGGATTCAAATCCCGGGATATTTTGGGGTTCTGGGCTATTCAAATCCCGAGATATTTTGGGGTTCTGGGGATTCAAATCCCGGGATATTTTGGGGTTCCGGGCTATTCAAATCCCGAGATATTTTGGGGTTCCGGGGGATTCAAATCCTGGGATGTTTTGGGGTTCGGGCTATTCAAATCCCGGGATATTTTGGCGTTTGGGGGATTCAAATCCCGGGATATTCTGGGGTTTGGGCTATTCAAATCCCGGGATGTTTTGGGGTTCCAGGCTATTTAAATCCAGGGATATTTTGGGGTTCCGGGGGATTCAAATCCCGGGATATTTTGGGGTTCGGGGGATATAAATCCCGGGATATTTTGGGGTTCCGAGGGATTAAAATCCCGGGATATTCTGGGGTTTGGGCTATTCAAATCCTGGGATATTTTGGGGTTCGGGGCTATTTAAATCCCGGGATATTTTGGGGTTTGGGCTATTCAAATCCCGGGATATTTTGGCGTTTGGGGGATATAAATCCCGGGATATTTTGGGGTTCCAGGGGATATAAATCCCGGGATATTCTGGGGTTTGGGCTATTCAAATCCCGGGATATTTTGGGGTTCCGGGCTATTTAAATCCCGGGATATTTTGGCGTTCCGGGCTATTCAAATCCCGGGATATTTTGGCGTTTGGGGGATTCAAATCCCGGGATATTCTGGGGTTTGGGCTATTCAAATCCTGGGATGTTTTGGGGTTCCGGGCTATTTAAATCCCGGGATATTTTGGGGTTCCGGGGGATTAAAATCCTGGGATATTTTGGGGTTCCGGGCTATTTAAATCCCGGGATATTTTGGCGTTCCGGGCTATTCAAATCCCGGGATATTTTGGCGTTTGGGAGATATAAATCCCGGGATATTTTGGGGTTCCAGGGGATATAAATCCCGGGATATTTTGGCATCCGGGGATTCCAATCCCGGGATATTTTGGGGTTCCAGAAAGCCGACCTGGCGGTGGCGGCGTTCACCATCACGGCCGAGCGGGAGAAGGTGATCGACTTCTCCAAGCCCTTCATGACGCTGGGAATCAGCATCCTGTACCGCGTGCACATGGTACGGATCGGGAATTTGGGATTGGGAATTTGGGAATTTGGGAATTTGGGATTGGGGATTGGGGATCAGCATCCTGTACCGCGTGCACATGGTACGGATCGGGAATTTGGGATTTGGGAATTTG